GTAGAGACGGGGTCTTGCTCAGGCTGGTTTTGAACTCCTGACCTTGAGCAATCCGCCCGCCTCGGCCTCCCAAGAGCTAGGATTACAGGCGTGAGCCACAGCGCCCGGCCCCTCGCCCATCTCTTTCAGGCACTGTCCCCCTTGACCCCACGAGTAACAGAAGGTCCCGCGGGCCGGGACAATTTGCCAGCAAAAGACAAAAAAGTGCTGACGGGTATGGAGTAGATTCTGTGGTGGGAAGGCCCTGAACATAGCTCACAAGTGAGACTGGTACTGGTAGCTCTGGGGGTCTACAAATGGGTATTAACAAGAATAGACACTGACTCTGGACTGGGCTTTGCTTAACCTGTGGAAGATGCAAATGCTCAGAATGCCATAAAAAAACCAGAAGAGAAGATATTGCATGTACTTGGACAGCTTAACATTCTTCAGGCCAAAGAACGCACTATACAGCCCATAATGTTCAACAATTGGCAGAGACATATTTTCCTTAGAGTAGTAATAGCATGATAGAGAAGTAGAATGAGCATTTAAAACACTGGTTGTTGGCCAGGCATGGTGGCTCACTCCTGTAATCCTAGCCCTCTGGGAGGCTGAGGGGGGACGAATCACTCAAGGTCAGGAGTTCGAAACCAGCCTGAGCAAGAGTGAGACCCCGTCTCTACTAAAAATACAAATTAATTGGCCAACTAAAAATACATTAACAAAATTAGCTGGGCATGGTGGTGCATGCCTGTAGTCCCAGCTACTTGGGAGGCTGAGGCAGGAGGATTGCCTGAGCCCAGGAGTTTGAGGTTGCTATGAGCTAGGCTGATGCCACGGCACTCTAGCCTGGGCAACACAGTGAGACTCTGTCTCAAAAACAAAAACAAAAACATTGGTTGTCTAAAGCAAGGGGAAATAAAAGCATGAGGGGCTGGCTTACTTGTGTTCACAGGTGTTTGCTCACTCACTCAACATGAGTGGGGTAAAGGAGTGTCCCCACTAGATTTTCCCATTTACCTGTTTGATGTGGGGAGGAAGGGGTGGAAGAAGATGCTAGGATGACTGTGCAATTCTTGCCAAGGGAGGAGTACCCTGGTATGATGATTATACTTTTTTCTTTTTTCCCCACATCACCTCAACTTTTTTTCTTTTCCCTACCTGATACAGTGGTCCTAGGACTAGAACTGCAAATGCACCTTCTGGTAATAGGGAAGACTCCCAAGCAAGAAACAATAACTAATATATTTAAACCTTATGTCCGAATTCCTAAGGCCTGATGGGGGTGGGTTGTGCCTTTATGCCATTTGGCAAAATTGGGGCTAAGAGTGGATGCAGCCATATTGCCTGGTGGTAAAAATAGCTCAGTTGTTCTCCACCTGTGTAGCCTTACCCTATCTGAATGGGAGTGGACTGAGGGGGAGGCACTTGCTAGACTAGTATTTCTGCCTGCAGTATAGATCAGCACAATGTCGATTCTAATGTCTCTTGCAAAGGTCTTTTGCTGGCAAATAGAACACTCTTATTGACATTTTGTACCTGAGAAGAGTTCAAGAGTTAATTGATTACAATTAATACAGAAAGAATATCACCTGAGGGTAAAGGAATAAATAAATGGACTATGAATTCAGGGACATCCAGTATTACATTAACAATTTGAAAGAGGCTCAGAACAAAAGATGACATTGTCATTTAGTTCAATTATACCAAATGCCTGAAAGGCATATTTTAGCAGAGACTACTCCTGCTTTCAGAATCTGACAAGATCAATGGAAGTCTGCAAACCTGAATGGCCTCACCCTGGGAGACATACTCACACAATATAATGATGAACTGTAGTAATTATTAATGACCGAAAGAGATTCTAGTAATGTGGCAGTATCTTTTGAGTTGTATATCCTTTTGATGTAAGGGATCTGGATTGGAAGACCAAAGATAGACTGTGATATTGTAAAATATATATTTGGTCTTTGACCCTGTTTCCTGGCACATAGTTCCTAAAATCCTTAGAATCTCCAAAGTGATGGTTTTTTGTATGTTTGTATTGACTGATGGCTACCAGCACACAGGTAGCTTCAAGATGAGGCTGGTCACCTGAAAGACCAAGGCAGGATTAGAGGGCTGGGACTTGCAGCCTCAACCTCCTACTTCTGGGGAGGGGAGAGGAGCCAAAGGTTAAGTTGATCACTAACGGCCAATGGTTTAATCAATCATACCTATGTAACGAAGCCTCCATAAAACCTAATATAGAAGGGCACAGTACAGGGAGCTTCTGGATAGCTTCATACATGGAGGTTCCTGGAGGGTGGTACACCTAGAGGGCATGGAAGCTCCGTACCCCTTCCTCCATAGCTCACCATATGCATCTCTTCATCTGTACCCTTTGTAATATCCTTTATAATAAACCAGTAGATGTAAGTCTTTCTCTCGAGTTCTGTGAGTAGTTCTACCATATTAATTGAACCCAAAGTGGAGGGAGTCATGGGGTCCCCAGTTTATAGCTGGTTGGTCAGAAGTTCCAGAGGCCTGGACTTATGACTGGTGTCTGAAGGAGGGGGAAGGTCTTCGGGGTCTGAGCCATCAACCTGTGGGATCCGATGCTATTTGCACATAGATAGTGTCAGAATTGAATCAGAGGACACCCAGCTGGTATCCATTTCAGGGTTGATTGCTTGGTTGTTTATGGGGAGAAATCATACACATGTGGTCAAAGAAGTCTTCTGGTTTTCTGTGTTGATTGTTGTGTGGTGTGACGGCAGAGAAAAAACAGTTTGTGTTTTTCTACCTTCAATAAAGAAAAAGAGGAGGAGCAAGGACAGAGGCCTTTAGCATTTCAGTGTGGAGAGGCGGGTGTGGGGAAATGAGAAAAAAATCAGCAAGATCTAAGAAGGAACAGTCAGAGAGGCAAAAGGGCAACCAGGAGAGACGGGTGTCATGGAAGCTAAGGGAAGCATTTTAGGAGGACGGATGTCCGAGGTTGCTGATCAGCCAAGAAGGACAAGCCCTGGGATGTCACCACTGGACTTAGCAACATGAAGGTCAGTAGTGACTTGATAAGATCTATTTTAGTGGAGTTAATAGGACTGTAATGCTGACCAGAGTGGGTGCAAAAGAAAGGGATGGGAGAAACTGGAAGAACATGAGTAGTACAGACAACTCTTTCTAGGAGTTTTGCTGTCAAGAGAAGCAGAGACTAGGGCCAGGTGCAGTAGCTCACACCTGTAATCCTAGCACTCTGGGAGGCCAAGGTGGGAGAAGCTCTTGAGCTCACGAGTTTGAGACCAGCCTGAACGAGAGAGAGAGACCTTGTTTCTACTAAAAACAGGAAAATTAGCCAGGCATGGTGGCATGCACCTATAGTCCCAGCTACTTTGGAGGCTGAGGCAGGAGGATCACTTGAGCCCAGGAGTTACAGGTTGCAGTAAGCTATGATGACACCACTGTACTCTACCCTGGGCGACAGAGTGAGACTCTGTCTCAAAAAAAAAAAAAAAAGAGAGAAGCAGAGACTAGGGGCAGAAGCTGGAGGGGGTTGTAAGGTTAAGAGAAGAGGTGTGGGGGCTGTGTGTGTGTGTATGTATATAATAAAAACAAGCTACAGCATGTTAGATCCAATAGAGATAGAAAACTGATGATGCAGGAAAGGAGGAAATTGTTGGGTCAACGTTGTTGAGTAAGCAAAAGGGATAGGATCTAGCATACAAATGAAAGGGTAGTGTAGTGGTAGGCTGAATTTAAAATCCTGGTTCTAGCACTAATGACTTCCATGACTTGGGCAAGATTTGTGTGTGTGTGTGTGTGTGTGTGTGTGTGTGTGTGTGTGACATAAGGTCTTGCTCTGTTGCCTAGGCTAGAGTGCAGTGGCGTGATCACAACTCAATGTAGCCTCAAACTCCTGGGCTCAAGTGATCCTCCTGCCTCGGCCTCCTGAGTAGCTGGGACTACAGGCATGTGCCACCACATGTGGTTAAGTTTTTCTATTTTTTGTCTATGTTGCTCACGCTGGTCTCTAACTCCTGGCTTCAAGTGAACCTCCCACCTGGGCCTCCCAAAGTGCTGTGAGCCACCACACATGGCTTTGGCAAGATTGTTAACCTCTCATAGCATTAGTTTTCTAACCTGTAAAGTGAGAATTTCCTGGAATTACTGAACTGTATAATGTCTTAATCAAATAGTATTATTTCATTGACATCTCAAGTTATAATTTTCCTTGATACTCATTGGCAGGATGGGATATAAAAACAATTTTTAAAATCTGCTTTTCTCGGCTGGGCGTGGTGGCTCACGCCTGTAATCCTAGCACTCTGGGAGGCTGAGGTGGGAGGATAGCTCTAGGTCAGGAGTTTGAAACCAGCCTCAGCAAGAGCAAGACCCCGTCTCTACTAAAAAATTAGAAAGAAATTAATTGGCCAACTAAAAATATATAGAAAAAATCAGCCGAGCATGGGGGTGCATGCCTGTAGTTCCAGCTACTTGGGAGGCTGAGGCAGAAGGATCGCTTGAGCCCAGGAGTTTGAGGTTGCTGCTGTGAGTTAGGTTGGCGCCACGGCACTCTAGCCCGGGCAACAGAGTGAGACTCTGTCTAAAAAAAAAAAATCTGCCTTTCTCCTAACACAGTAAATACATATCTAGGATCTAATGAAAAATCGTTAATGTTATAAAACACACAGTCACACCCCAAATAAAGAGAATTATTAAAACATGGTATTATTTTAGTTTGTTCGTATTGCATATCTTTGAAACATGTGTTGGCAGAGAACAAATAGGCCTTCCTTCCTGATGTATTTTGTCTTAATCCTCTCGTATCCTCTGTCTGATAACTGGTTGACCCTCAAGTAATATATTCTCTATTCAGATGTTTGCAGATGATGTGCAGGAACAGCAATCAAGATGAACAAAAACTAATGAAAAAGCTCAGGAAAAAAAATTGTTGAAAAGGGCTACTTTAGAGAGCAATATGTTCCTGTTACTAGAAGTGTTCAAACCAAGTGTAGATGGTGATCTATGTGCTCACGTACCTTAAGCCATGGGTGATTCAGTGCTTCATAAACAGTGATCCTTTCAGCTGGATCCAGCATCAGCATGCGACGTACTAGGTCTTTGGCACTTTCAGAGATATGGCTCCACTGCCTTGGATTCATCTGAGGAGGAGGAAAGGAATATTACATCGTTATCTTCGATGAGAAACTAACATTCACTATTATTTAATATTCCTATACTGCTTCAACGTGAATAAAATTTTCAGAGCAAAGGACAGAAATTTGATTCTAAGGAAGAAAAGGACAAATGCAATTCTTTTGTTGTTGTTCACTATATGAGAATTTGGATCAGTAAATATTCCATACATATGCTCTTGTTGTTATAGGTTATAATATTTTTAATAATTGAAGAATAGAACGTTCGTGATTCCAGCTTCTATCTTTAGATCCTCGACTAAAGAGACTAGAATATGTTGATCCAGAAAGGACTAAAATAAAATTTAAAAAATTTAAAGAAATATTTAAAAAATGTTTTTAAAGACTGGGATCAGCAATAATTGTGAACTATGTGAAGTTATTAATAGGATATTTTGGCCACTGTATCAATTGTAGTATTTAGGAAAAAGTACACTATTACTATAGGCCCTACAAAATAACCAATTTGCTTGAATATTATCCTCAGCGAAGTTACATTTGTCTCTCTTTTAGAGATGAGACAACTAAGCCACATGGTAAATTGACTAAAACCAAACAGAAAGAATTATGAGTTTTTCAAAAGATACAAGATTTATGAGAAAGGCTGTGGATCTGTGAAGAAAGAGTTGGAAGGTTTCTGGGAAAAGGGGTATGTATGAGACCAGGAATCACAACGCAATTCAAAGAATGCTAGGGCTTGGGCAGGCAAATGGGGAAAAGAGGTAGAGACAGAGCAGGGTCTCGTTCCCTATTCAATGAATTGTGAAGACTGAGAAGCAGACTGATGGGGTGAGGTTATGTGAGCTGCCTGGTGCCAGCAGCTTTAAGCAAAGGCATGGATTTAACAGGCAGAGACCTATGCCACCTTCTAAGGGAGAAAGATGAAGAATAAACTCCACAACAATTTAAAGCCTAATGAAATCACAGTACTTGCATGCAGTACAAATGAGTCATTACGATTTGGCCAAAAGCTAGCATTAGATACTCAGCTCTGGTTAATGTGAGGCTTTGTACTTGTAGATGGAGAGTGAAAAGTGTCTCCATGTTAGGGACAGCTGTTAAAGTTGAACGGTGCTCCATTTTCTTTTTTATAACAGGCAGAATTTCAATAGTAGCCACTTCTGCTTGTCAAATCCTTTTAAGATGAATTCCATGAAACTGTTTAAATATTGTCATCCTATTGAAATTGTGGTTGGTTGATCAGTTTGAAATAAGGAGGTAAGTAATTAGACAGGGCTTGGATAGCCTTATTCCCTCATCCCCATCCTGAAGCTGATGAGCTCCCTAAAGTCTGAATAATTTTTCTTTGGCAAAATGGTTGAGAAATCATCTGAAAGTGGTTGTAAGATTTCTGAAGTGAGTAGAGGTTTAGAAGGATACCCCCTGTCCTTTTTATGACAAAATCCAATACAGGGTTTTCCTTCAGCTGAGAAGAGTAGCTAAAATTAATCTGGGAGGTTGCATCTATAAGGGGGAACAAAATAGGGCTATAAAATAATCTCACTTATTTGAATACCAAAGCCACAGCAGCTTAGAATCTTGCTGTGAAGATATCAACTGGTTACCTGTAACAATGATGTAAGATGATACTGTATCTTTTATATATAGTTGGGGAAATATATTTTTGTCCCTTATTAAAAAGTTTATTGAGATTAAATGTAGCATATATTCCAGCTAAATAGTAATAGTATTCTCTGTGACATCTACCTTAAAAGATCAGGTAAACTAGCAAATGAGAATTTAAAATATTAAAATCACTTAAGACCAGTAGCAGTTTATAAACTATGACAATTTAAATGCATTACATTTAAAAGGTATCATCCAACTTTTCTTGAAAATACCGATAGAATTCAAAGATTTTTGTTAATAGTTCTTCTGTTAAGAACCAATAGGATGGAGAAATGGTTATTTTGAGATCTGCTTTAAAATAATCTAGTAATATGTAGAATATAGATAAAACAAGATTGGTCATATGTCAACTATTGAAGCTGGGGGTTCATCATACTATTCTCGCTACTATTTTTATTTGTTTGTAATTTTCTATAACAAAAAATAAAAAAGAAATGTTGACAGAATCATATCACAGTATTTTTTTTTAAAAGGCCCATGAAGTTCATCATAGATGGGAGAGATGGATCTATACTTCAAACTAAACTGCTGAAAATCTGAGCCTTTTGTAAGAAAAGCCAGGAAGATAAACTAGAGTTGAAGTTAGCCAAGTAAAGTAGTAAATAAGTTATTAATCTCAAAGCTTCAAATCCTGGGTACAGAAATTATGATATAGCTGCCACCATCAATCTCACTTAACTATAATAGTAGGAATAGGGAATTTTTAAATAATTTAATTTTTGCACATGTGTGAACAATCCAAGTTTCTTACCAAGAAATAAAAATAATCATTCAATGTTTTAAAAATAGACAAAATCAAATACCATAGGCTGTTGAAATGAAGCACATTGCCTTGGAAACCAGGAAGTTAGCAACTGAACAAACACAAAGGAAAAATTCTATTATTAGCAAATGCTTATAACTCAAAAAGGCAGGTGGGAGATTTTATTATATGGTACCTAAGTCACAAGTTGCTGTGAAGATTAAGTGAGTTAATATAAGTAAAGTGCTTAGAACAGTTCCTGGCACAGAATAAGTGCTATGTCTGGTTCTGAGTTAGCTATCTTTATTGCTAGTATTATTATGCTGATGAATTACTAATCATGTTTCGTTTCATATGTTAGTATCTGTGATTTCAGTTGGCAAAATTCAACCAGAAAGCCTTGGCTGTGCATTCCTGAGAGCCACTCACCATTTCCAGGGATTGAAGGGGATGACTGACTACTTACAAGCAGTTTCCTGAGACATTTAGTTACCTTGAAAGTATTGATTTTATTCCCCAGAGGCCAACTGATTCTAAGAGAAGCAGAAAAAACCTATACCTAAAACATCTTTTTCCATTAGCAGAGTTTTGATATACATCTTGAACCAAATAAAACAAAAGACAAACCTGTATGCACTTATAAACTGATAGTGCACAAGACAAAAACAAACAAAAATATACACCATTCTCATCTCCGGAAGCTTCAGTTATGGCTTAAAGGATAAGGCTGTAGCTCTGAAACTACTTCACTTTTCTTTTTTCCAAGTCCCATATAAAATTCTAACATTACTGAAGAATTGAAAAGAAACCTTTAGGGAACCTCACAGTTTTGGAGTCTAGTGTTATATACGCCTGTGTTTGGTTTTATATTGGTAGGCATGGCAGAAAATGAAACAGTGATTCAGTTGAATACAAAGTATGAGTTTCAGTAATAATGGGAGGAAAAAGAATTTCCCCAACATAAACTGCCTTGACCTGATACCCAGACGCCCACCCCCATGCTTCCCACGCCCAGCCTCCTAGTCCCTGTCAGCTGTACAGAGTGGTACAGAGCAAAGAAGTATAAGAAGAGTTGGGATAGTGAAATCAACCTTAAGCTTATTTATTTCCAAGAAGTACTTAGGTCTTTTTGATGCAGTCATTCACAATGTCAGTAACGACTTTTTCATTTTTTTTAAATTTTATTTCACTTTTTTTGGAGACAGTCTCACTCTGTTGCCCGGGATAGAGTGCTGTGGCATCAACCTAGTTCACAGCAACCTCAAACTCCTGGGCTCAAGCATTCCTTCTGTCTCAGCCTCCCGAGTAGCTGGGACTACAGGCATGCGCCACCATGCCTGGCTCATTTTTTCTATATATATTAGTTGGCCAATTAATTTCTTTCTATTTTTAGTAGAGACGAGGTCTCACTCTTGCTCAGGCTGGTTTCAAACTCCTGACCTTGAGCGATCCTCCCACCTTGGCCTCCCAGAGTGCTAGGATTACAGGCGTGAGCTACCATGTCCGGCCGACTTTGTCATTTTTTAATAATGAAAGTAATAATTTACTAATCACAAGTCTGTGATAGTACATGAGGTTTCCAACACACGTTTAAGTCACATTGGAATGCCTCTATATTGTATCATGGAATGCAGTTGTGATCTGGCAGTTCAATTTATCTAGGAATGTAAATGGCAAATTTTTTCAGCTATGCTGGCATAAATTTAAAATTAAGATAAAGAATGACTATAATTACCTGGATGAAATTTCCATTTTAACTTCACAAACTAAGCAAAAACCTTTAAAAACAAAGCCCAATTCTCAAAGTACACAAAGAAGGGCCATAAAAGTTTTCTTCACCTGGATGATATAGTTCAGCTGACAAGAACTCAGAAATTTACTTGAGGTCTATGTTGCCTAACAAGGTTACTGGATCAATGGTGGAAGCAAAGATCTTTTCACTGATTGGGTAACTACACGGCAGTCAATCAGTGAGCAAAGATAGACAGTAACTTCAAAAAACATTTTTCAGGATAATTTAATCTCAATGGAAAAATAAGATGTTTATAATGCATTACCTTATATTTTCCTTTAATGATGCCTTCAAACAATCTTTCCTTGGTTCCGTAAAAAGGCAAACAACCGCTGAGCAGGATAAAAAGGATCACGCCGCACCCCCAGACATCTACAGGCTTTCCATAAGGTTCTCTTTTGACCACTTCTGGGGCCATAAAATGAGGTGTTCCAACGCGTCCTACATTTAAAGCAACAATGACATTAAGGAAAAACATTTACATAAAATGGAGTTTTCCACTTGAAAGCTGAAAATAATAGAATAATAACCTGAACAAAAAGTTTGCCAATATAAATTAAATACTCTCTCACCACCTCTCCCTTTCCTATAAAATCAAGTTCACAGAAGGAAAAAAAGATTATCTAATCACCTTTTGAAAATACTGAGCCCAGGATAGGTTCTTTGTCTTGTAACCCTGACATTCCCTGTTGAATTCTGCATGCTACACGGTAGATATTTATATAGTTCTTGCTTCAAGAATAAGTTTAAATTTTCTAATTTTCACATGTTTGAGTGTCACTAAAAATATAGTTTAGAGGCAGGTGGAAAGTCATCAGGCAGAATCTGTACCTGCTCAGGAAAGAGTTGGGAGGGGCAGAGGCAGGGTGAGGAGGGGGCAGGAGTGAAAAAGAAATCTGTGGACAAATGATTACTTTTGACTGTCAAATGGAAATTTCCCCAATGAAACCTAATGCTGAGAACTATTGTTTAGAATATGTATTTGAATCTGAAATCCTCTTCAGTTGCTTTTATGGACTGTAGCAATTAACAATGGTTAGTAATGTCTTGTTATAATATGAATTTTTCGTTTCCTCCTAACATTAATGTTTGAAGGAGAGCAAATATATGACACAAGCCAAAGCAAAATCATGAAGCTCCTCCCATTCAATCTGCTTTGATCCTTTCTTTTGTTTCTCTATCAAAAACTAGCTTTCTGGGAGGAATCTGGTATCAGTTGTTTGCACATTAATAACCATCTTTAACTCAATATCTTAAAAGGGGCCGGGCGCGGTGGCTCACGCCTGTAATCCTAGCACTCTGGGAGGCCGAGGCTGGCAGATTGCTCGAGGTCAGGAGTTCAAAACCAGCCTGAGCGAGACCCCATCTCTACCAAAAATAGAAAGAAATTAATTGACCAACTAAAAATATATATACAAAAAATTAGCTGGGCATGGTGGCACATGCCTGTAGTCCCAGCTACTAGGGAGGCTGAGGCAGTAGGATCGATTGAGCCCAGAAGATTGAGGTTGCTGTGAGCTAGGCTGACGCCATAGCACTCTAGCCAGGGCAACAAAGTGAGACTCTGTCTCAAAAAAAAAAAAAAAATACATAATAGGTCAGTGAGAACTCTACTGGTTAGAAAGACCTGGCTAGAGAAATATTTTTATTTCTGTATTGCCCCATTTTGCTTCATCAAGTAATATAAAGAAGCTGAAGTTATAGGAGCTAAGCCTCCTACTTTCATTAACAGCCTTGTTCTAATGGACAGGAGAGGAAAACAGGGCAAGAACTCAGGGTACCATGCAGGGCACTGGTTCCAGGGCACCAGTCAGGTACTTGCTAATGGTTTGGATGATGCTTTGAAATTCAACTTGACTCCTACCACTTCCCATATAAGAAAGAGCCAAGTAACTCAAAATTGGGGCCTCACTCTGGGAATAATTGTAGCCACCATGGCCATTCCCAGCCATCCTGAGGAGGTTCTTTCCATTTATCTGGATTCAAGACTACCTATTTCTAGAGAATCAGTGTTCACTCTTGGGGAAGATGCATGTCTTTTGGTTCAAGAATTTGCTCATAAATGATAGAGAAAAAACTATGTTATAGAATATAGAGGAATGCTCTTTTTATTTCATGTACCTCAGTAGATTGTGAAAAGGACTGGAGTTAATATTTAATATATATCAACTTCCTCAAACTCCTTGTTTTTGCTGTTAGTCTTTTTCCTTCTTTGTGAGCACTTTAATTTTATGACTTTGACCACAAAATTCTAAGAACAGGAAACCAGTTGCCAAACCAAATGAAATGTCATTGTTTGTGATACTTCAGACATATATTTAAATATATTTTGATAATATAATAAAAATCTTCCTACCTAGAATCTCAGAGAGGGAGTTGTTCTGAATAGCTATATTTTCAATACTTTAGGATTTGAATCTTTATGCACATACCCTTTTTACTTTAATAATTTTGTGTGGCTATCTTTCTACAATTTCCTGACTTCTTTTACACAGAATGCTGCACATAAGTTAACCTTTTCTTGATGACTCAGAGTTGTCATTGTGGATATCAATTAAAGAACTACGTTATAGAACAGAAAGCACCCTCAGGAACTTCAGCGGTATATACGGTTGATTTCTTTGGTATTAAAAGGCTGCTGCATGTTCCAAGTTTTGATGTCTGTTTAATATATTTTTTCCTGTCAGATTTTCATTTCTTTCCTCTCACTATGCTTACTTCAGTTCTGGCTTTCCCTAATTTGTTGCTTATAATCTGCTGTTAACTGGATACTGACTAGCAACCAGATTCTTTCATTTAATAGCAATTTCCTAAGTGCTTGCTAGGTCCTAGACACCATTGTAGGTGCTGTGGACATACAGAGAGATAAGCCATGATTCCCCTTGCCCTTACAAATCTTGGTCTTTGATGTGATTACAAGCCCCTGCATCCAAAGCTACCCAGAGCTATGTAGCCCAGATAGTTAAGGTTAATATGGGAGAGAAGGAATAGAGCTACTTAATTCAGGATGATGAAGATTAGCCTGCTTTTAAGAGGAGACAACTGTTAGTTCAGCCTTCAAGAACAGTAGGAGTTAACCAGATAAACAAAAAGTATTTCAAGGAACGGGAATAGCAGGTACAAGCTATGAAGGAACAAAAATCTATATAACTTTATAAAAAGTGGGATCAGGTCAGCCTCAAAAAGAATATCTTTAGATGCCCAATTGAGAGGACCATGACTGGGTTTTTGAGGGTAGGAATAATATTGCTGCTATTATAATTATTTTCTAGGTTCCTAGTTGTATTCTGGATAAGTGAATTTTCCAAATAGCTGAGTTGCAGACAGGGAAGTGTAAATGTATTTAAAGGTTTTTAGTGCATGGAATATATACAGGAGGGAATTCCTTTCTATTTGTAGGACTGGGGGTTCAAAGATTACAACTGACAGGAAAGTAGCTGTCTGTTTTAAAGTTGATAAATATTAGCAAAATTTCAAAAGTACTTTAAACAATAGGAAAGCTTTTTCTAAGAGAAATCATTTATTCCTTATCTACCTATATTTTTAAAAACATTGTAATGCTTAAAGTCATTTCAAGAATATTAAGAAAAGGTATTAACATATGACAATACTTTGACCATCAGGAAGTATTTTAATTCTAGAAGCATGGAGAAAATAAATTTTGAATAACTGACACACTGGGGGTTCAAAATTAGCTTTCAAAATATACAACTTGGGGAAAGGTTCATGGACTTAAAAGAAAATAGATTAACACGGAGAAAATGCCCAAGTAAATCTGATGAATCTATTTCCCCCCTTCAATCAAGATGCACAATAAAATATAATGCCCATGACATTCTGAACACTAACACGATGCAGGTCAAGAGCAATAGAAACAAAGTTATATATGGCCAGTTTATAACACACAAAAGGAATTCATTTCATCCCATTAACCTTAGGGATGTAATCATCAGAAATTATTTGTTATTAGTATAATTGTGTACCCATAACACATGGGTGATTTGTATAATTATATACCAGATTTTAGAGTGAGTTTAACAGCAACATTTGTTTAAAAACAAAACAATTCAGGGTTTTTAATTGATTGCAAGATGAAGATAAGCCAGCAGTGTTATGTTCAGTTCTGGCCCCATACTTTGTGGACAATGAGGAGACTCTGAACTAGCTGATATGAAGAATGGCTATATTAACCTAGGGGAATTAATTTGGATAAGACTTAGGGGGACATGGTAGCTGTCTTCAAACATTTGCATGGTGATCATGTAGAAGGATGAAAATTGTTCAATGTGTCTTCAAAAGTCAGAATTAGGACAGCTGGGTGAATGTTACAGAAAGACAGATTTCTGGTTCAATGCAAGGATGAACTTTTTAATACTTGAGGAGTTTTCCAAAAATGAAATGAATTGTTCTGGGACATAGTGAATACTTTTCCATCTGAGGAATTAAACCGGAGCTCAATCGTTTATTGAGAATATTCCTGGAGAATTCAGTCATTAGTTATAAGACTGGAGAAGTTCAAACCCCCTTGGAATCCTGAGATTCAATGATTCTATGAATTAAACTATGCTTTACTACCTGACCCTTTGGTCAGTCTTCTAATCACCAACAGAAAGCTTTGAATTAAGGCAAAAAATTAGCATTCTTTGAAACTATACTGAACTTCTAGTTTTGCATATTATTGGAAATGATTAGCTGGAAAAGAATATGAAACTAGAAGGAAATTCCAAAGTAATTTAATTTTAGAGGGCAATGTGGTAAAAAAATGATTTAAAGAATACAACTGTGACCTATGCCTCATTTTTCAGAAGGTAGCCTATTTTATTACTGCTTGGTGTTCTAGCTACAATTAATTAATTTAAATGAAATGTCCAGATTAGTATTTTGACATTTATCATTTGTCAGGTATTTGAATTTAACATAAACATTCTTAAAAGATGACAGGTTTAAAAAGGTTCTGTTGATATTTTTCATATTTTTCCTATTTGTGAAGGTTGGCAGTACTTGGAAATAGGAAAGAGAAAGCATTGACCAGAAGATAGTTTGTAGAATGGGGAACTAAGTAATTTTAAAACTAAGGAATAGAACTAAAAAAAGGGCAGCATTCTGAGCTGGAGTCTATTGAAAGGAATAAATAAACAAACCAAATACTTGAATCTATAATTAGCATCCACCTCTGGGCACTGGTGAAGAAAGGTCCTATTTTAACTTTTCTTCTTTTTATTCTGGCATGGGAATTTAAAAATTATGTTTTGCTTTGGCTAATAATAAAATCAGCCTGCATTTACATCTGCTTGTTCTTTGCAAATACACATATTAATGGCTTGAACAAGATTCTTTGAAAAATGGAAAAAGGAGAACAGTATGAAATTAAAAATTAGCCATCAATGTATACCTGGAAATGGCTAATTGACACATTTTAGATTTGACTTCATCTGGACAGTTAAACTTTAAAGTCACTATGCCCCAAATATCTTCTCTGAACATCATTTTAATCTCTTTATGTAGGGCTTCTTAAGTGCTGAAGATAAAAAGAGTAAGAAGACAGAGTCTGGACGGGTACAGTGGTTCATGCCTGTAATCCCAGCACTTTGAGACCAATCTGGGCAACATACAAGACCTCATCTCTACCAAAAAAAAAAAAAAAAAAGACAAAGTCTATTCTTAAGTGACTACAGTTCTAGTTATGACTACAGAGTTATTAAATTCAAAACTATCTCATGGCGTTTTGGGGGTGGAGTGGGGTGGAATGAGGTATGAAACACTGAGGTTGGGCTAATATTTAGCTTGAAAGTTTTATACCAGCCTGAAAGTGACCAGGTTTTGAAGGAAATTTTTTAAAAAGTGGTCTTACCTCCAGCTACAAGTCCAGACTCCCCTAATTGAATAGCTACCCCAAAGCCCCCAAGTTTAACAGGTGCTGAGTTTTCTTTTGAGGCGAGGAGAACACAGTGGGGCTGAAAAGAAAAACAGACAAACAAAAAATAAGCCCAAAGATAAATTGAAGATGAACAATTCAGTTTACACAAAACGAAATAACATGACAATTTAGTAACACATTGAAAACTTTTGATTACTTTAGATGCTTGAATTGTCCTATTCTAACTTCTGGCTGATTTCTTCAAAGATATACCTGTTCCACGCAATATTTTCTAGGAAATATTTGCTAAGAATTACTCGGAAAGCATGGATGCTCAAGAAATACAGATACGTGTTCTGCCTTTTTATGCAATATTCTCTTTCTTTGAGTGATAGTTTAGATTTAAGAAAAAATGTGTTTTATAGTTCCTGCCAATATGTTTCTTGAAACCTCTGACTTATATAGCCATTGTATTTTGGCCCTTGGGGGATGCTGATGGCCCTTTGTCTACCCTCCTCTATCCTCTTTCTTTTCTTTATTCATTTCACCACTAAGTAAAGGAGTACTAAATGGATGGGTCTGATTTAATAACTTTAGTTGAGCCTTGCTCTCAGGGACTTCAATGTTCTTCCTGGGTATGTCTTTTCTTTGGAAATGCCTTTCATCTCTATGGAAGTGGGAGGTGAGAAAGAAGAAGGGGAAAGGAGCCCACTTGGCTGGCCCCTTGTCCAGGGCAAAGCCATCCTCCCCTAGGAGGAGCCTGTTTGACCAAGGAAGGGCTCCCTAAGTATCACATGCTTTGTGATAACAATAAAGGTTTCCTTGTAGGATCTTGTCCTCTGCATCTGTTTCTTTCTGGGACCTTGTTGGGGCTGGTGTCAGGAAAGAATTTGACTGTGGGAGGCTTTGGTCTCTGCTCAAACACTATGCTCCCCAATATGACTAACACTATATCTGACTTGTTCTCAAACCACAGGCTAGTGAAAAAGACAAGCCTCTTTAGGCATGGAAGACAAAAGTATTTTTATTCTCTCCTATACTTTCTCATTCATAAAATGAAAAAGTTTTAGATAAGCTTTAGCCAACGTGGTAGTGGGTATGAAGAAAAAAGTGTGCAATAAAACTGAGTTGGTACACCCAGAGAAATGTTTGATGTTGACACACATAAGTGGGAGGGATCCTTATTTTGCCCAATAAGAGCATCAGGATTCTATTTTGGAAGTTATTCTTTCTGTCCAAAGAGTTTAAAGAACTTTACAGTACTTTCTAGCACAAAGAGAGATAAGCTCTCAAATATAAGTGTGTATGAGTCTGTGAAAGCAAGATAAAGAGAGAAGGGAAGTATACAAATGAACAGTGAGCAAACTATGACATGACACTTAAGTAGCAAGAAGAGTGTATGGGAGAGCAAGTAAACCTCTACAGAAATCAAATGATAAAGACTGCTCTCAGTAAGAACTTTCAGTTGGTTCAAAGAGAGATCAATGACAACAGACTGAATAAGAAAGCAATACCCCTAGCATGATTCTAGTGTGGGACATGGCAAATGAAGGAGCCTAGGAAAGGATGGACATGATACAGAAGAAAATACAAACTAGACCCAAACAGAGTCTCCTGACCATGCCTCTGCAAGTGTTTTTTATCACCTTCTTAGGAAGAAGAAGTAGAAGCTTAAATTGGAATGCCAAAGAATGTATACCCTTTATAGTTTGCTGATTATATTTATGTTTTCGTGTTATAATTAAATCGATGTAATTCTCATCAGTGTAGATTCAGTCATTTTCAATAAATCCTTAAGGGAGACAAGTTATAATGTTTGAGCTTAAGATAGAAAATAAAGAGTCTACAGCCACACTACCCTGAATGCGCCTGATCTTGTCTGATCTTGGAAGCTAAGTAGGGTTGGGCCTGGTTAGTACTTGGATGGGAGAAAATAAAGAAACCTATAAATACAAAGTAATAGTATGTTAAGTCAGGTAGTGGTTAAGTACTAGGAGGTAAAAATTAAGCTGGTGAGGAGGTAAATGTATAGATTTGGGGACTGGGGAGCTGCTATTTTAATTAGGGGGGTCTGAGAAGACCTCTCTAATGGGATAATGTCTGAATAGAGACCAGAATGAAGTGAAAGAGCAAGCCACATGGAAGCAAGCTCCAGACAAGAAGGATAGTCAACACAAAAGTCCAGAGGCATGAGGAGGGTTGGTATGTTTAGAGAATCAGAAGGAAGCCACCATGTATGGAAAGGAATGAGCAGGGGGCAGAGTGGCAGGAAATGTGATCTAAGATCTGGGGCCTTGAAGCAATGGTCAAAACTCTGGGTTTTATACTGAGCAGGTGGGAAACCACTAGAGACTTTTGAACAGGGGAGCACTATAATCAGTTTTAGGTTCTGAAAGCAGCACTCTGGCTGCTGTATGGAGAAGAAATCGTAGGAGCACAAGAGTGGAAGAAAGATCAGTTAGAGGCTACTGCAGTTGTCCAGGCAAGAGAGGATGGTGACTTGGACTAACCTAGAGTGATATTAACCAAAACAGAGAGGATGAGAAGTGGTCAAATTCTGTTTATGATCTGAAGGTAAAGCTGACAAGAATTGCTGCTGGATGTGGGTGTGAAAGAGAAATAAGTATGACAATTAGGTTTCTGTTCTAAGTGCAAATGAAGATGTCATTTACTGATATGGGGAATACCAGGGGAGGAGTTTGTATGGGGAAATCAAGAATTTGGTTTCATACACATTGAATGTAAGATCTTACAAGATGGGGTGAAGGGGAGGCTGGGATTAGAGGTGTAAATTTGGGAAACAACAGCATTTGGATGGTATTTATAGCCAAGGTAATGAATGAAATCGCTTAGGGAATGACTACTGATAGAGAAGAGTCAGAGGATTGAGCCCTGCTACACACCAATATTTGAGGTCAGGAAGATGAGAAAAATCTAGCAAAGGAAAGAGAATGTCTAGACTGTGAAGCAGGAAGAAAATCAGAATTTGATATCCTGAAGCCAAGGAAGAAACTTTTTCAAGTAAGAATAATAAATAGTGATCAGTGTTAATAAGGTCATTTAAAAATGAGAACTGACCACTAGATTTGGCAACTTGGAAGTCACTGGAAAGCTTGATAAGAGTGGTTTTGGTGGCATGATGGAGACAAAAAACCTCATTAGACCAGCTTCACCAAAGAATGGGAAGAGAGGATATAGAGATAGTAAACACAGGTATCTTTCAATGTTTTCCTGTACTAAAAATGGAGAAATGGGATATAGCTAGAAGAAAATGTGAAGCTGAGGATGTTTCTTTTTTAACTTTTCAACATTCCTGAGTGGAGAGAATAGATTAATGAAACTCCATGTATCTATGATCCAGCTTTAGCAATTATCAACATTCTGCCATTGTTGCTTCACTTATCCCCAACCATTTATTATATATTTTTTGCTGAAGTATTTTAAAACAAATCATATCATTTACTGTTAACAGTTCAGTATTTCTGATAGAGGACTTAAAATTAATACTACCATACCCAATAAAATGAACAATAATTCTTTAATAACATCAAAAACCCAGTCTACATTCAATTTTCCTCGACTGTTTAAAAAATGTCTTTTTACAGTTAGTTCAAGATGGTATCCAAGGTTCACACATTGCATTTGCTAGCGTGATCTCTTAAATCTCTCTTACTGTATAACAGATCCCTCTCCTTGTCCCCTTTTTTCAATGTTCATGCCATTGATTTGTTAAGATACTAGGTAATTTTCCCTGCAGAATCCCCCACAATCAGTACTTGGCTAATGGTACCCATACAATGTCATTTAATATGTTCTTTACTCTCCTGTATTTCCTGTAAATTGGGAGGTAGATCTCTCTCTCTCTCTCTCTCTCTCTCTCTCTCGCTCTCGCTCTCGCTCTCGCTCTCGCTCTCGCTCTCGCTCTCTCTTTTTTTTTTTTTGAGATAAGAGTCTTGTTCTGTTGCCCAGGCTAGAGTGCTGTGGCACCAACCTCATTCACAGCAACTTCAAACTCCTGGACTCAAGCAATCCTCCTGCCTCAGCCTCCTGAGTAGCTGGGACTACAGGCACACGCCAGGATGACTGGCTAATTTTTCTATTTTTAGTAGAGACGGGGTCTTGCTCTTGCTCAGGCTGGTCTTGAACTCCTGAGCTCAAGTGATCCTCCCTCCTCAGCCTACTAGAGTGCCAGGATTACTGGCGTGAACCAACACACCCAGCCATAGATGTAGAATCTTGATTAGATTCAGATTCAATTTTAGTTTTATGCATTAATAGGTGGTGTATCTATTGTACTGCATCAGGGAGAACATAATGTCTATTTGCCCTACTTCAGTGACAGGATTGAGCAGTGGGTTCAGGTGTTGTCTGCCTGACTCATCACTGTAAGATTTGCCATCAACTTTTCACTCAGTGATGTTAGCAGCCATTGATGTCTAGATCCATACGTAGAGGTTCCAAAATGGAGGTTTTCCTCAAAATTCTGTTATGAAAACTATCACACATATAGAAAACTGAAGGAACTATATAGTAAATAGTTATATAAACTATTATAATAGTTATATAAACTAACTGAAGGAACTATATAGTAAATAGTTATATATATATAAACTATATAGTAAATATATTCACCACCTAGATTCTACAATTAACATTTTGCTACATTTGCTTTATCAACTATATATCCAGTTATCCCTCTATCTAACCATCAATCCGTCTTACTTTTTATTACAATTCACACATATCATTAGAATTTAATATTTGTTTAAAATTATGTTTAAGGTAAACATTTACGTACTGTGAAATGCACAAAAGAGTACCATTAGAGTTCTGATGAATTGCATACATTTGTGTAACTCAAATCCCTATGAAGATATTATCATCATCCCAGAAGCCACCCCCATCACCTTCACATTCAGTCTCTGCGGCCATCCCTCCCAGTGCAAACTACTACTCTGATATTCTTTCACCATAGGTTTGCTTTGCCTATATTAGAACTCACAGACAAGAAACCATATAGTATATACTCTTTTATGCAAGGCTTCTTTCACTGAGCATAATACTTCTGAGATTCAGCCACATTGCTGTGATCAGTTC